ACCCCCCTCCTGCACCCCGACCCCCTGCCCTAGCCTAGAGCCCAGCCCCCGCACCCAAACTCCCTCCCAGAGCCTGACCCCAAACCCCAGCCTGGTGCAAGTGAGTGAGGGTGGGGGAGAGCGAGCAGGGGCTGGGGTCTCGGGGAAGGGGTGGGGCAGGGGTGTGGTCACAGAAGGGGCGGGGCATTGGGGCATGGTCTCAGGGAAGGGGCAGGGCAGGGGCGTGGCCTCAGGGAAGTGGCGGGGCGGGGGGCTTTGGGTTTGCGCGATTAGACCGCTGGCAGCCCAGGTGGGCATGAGGGAGCCCGGCCATGCCAGGAGGCGCCCCAGGCACCAGCCGGTGCAGACGCAGCCCTGGCCAAGTGCCAGGCGGCCGTGGGTCCGCGGGGGCTGCAATTGCTGTTGGCGGGCCTGGGGAGGGGGCAGGGGGCGGGGCCTCGGCCAGCCCCCCCTTTCTCCCCATGGGTCTGCCCCCCCCCCCCTCCCCAGGCGAACGGCGCCGCGTCTGTGGCCCTGCAGAGCAGCGTCTACGTGGGAGGTGAGTGAGGGTCTGCGGGGGGAGTGGGGGAGGGGCAGCCCCATATCCCCTCCCCACAGCCCCCCTTCCTTCCAGCGGTGCCCCCTACATCCCCTCCCCAGAGCCCCCCCTCCTTCCAGCTGGGCCCCGTATCCTCCCCTGCCCACAGTCCCCCCCCTCCTTCCAGCTGGGCCCCCTACATCACCTCCCCCACAGGCCCCACACCGCCCTTTGGCCTTGGTCCAGCCAACAGGGCCCCTGGCCCGACCCGGCTGCTCCCGAGCTGGGGGGGGCCTCCCAGGCACCAGTCGCTGGGTCCCCCATCTCCAGGCCGTCGTCAGGGTCCCGGCTGCTGGGCGAGGTCACACCTGGACCCCTGAAGCAACGACCCCCCCTCTGCTGCCCCCCGTTACGCCCCCAGCGCACAGGGAAGCTGAGGCACACACCGTGTTCATGCACAACACTAGGACAATCCCCCGCTTCATCACCCCCCCCCTCCACCTGGCGGTGGTTTGGGGGCAGTGGGGGGGGGGGGCGGGGTTGCCACTGTCAACCCCATATCTTGGTCGAGGGGGCTGGGTGGGCAGCGGGGCTGATCTTCCCTCTAACCCTCCCCATGTTCTCTTTCAGACGCGGCCGGGCGTCCCCCCAATTGGGCTCCTGGGCACAAGAAGAAGGATTTCTCCTGCAGCGACCGCCTGGTACCCCCTGCCGGTCCCCCACTACATCCCCACCCCCTGCCGGCCCCCCAGCTCCCTGCCACACTCCCATCCCCCCGACTCCCCCCACCAGTCCCCTACCATATCCCCATCCTCCCAAACTCCCCCTCTGCTCCCCTCACCCCATTGTCCCCCCACCACTCTAGTGCCCTCTGCCCCAACCCCGTTCCCCTCCCCCAGTCCCTGCCTGCCCCCCAGCTCCCTGCCCCACCACCCACCAGCTGCCGCCTCACCACTGCTCTCCCAACCCCCCTCTGACAGTCTCTCCTGTCCCCCCAGTTTGCCCTGAACGCCGGGTTGCCGTTCTACACCCCTGAGGAGTTTTTCCTGGGCTGGGCGCCCGCCCCCTACCACCTGCCCCCCTTCGACCCGGTGAGTGCCCCCCCCATTCACACCCCATGGGGCCCCCCTCCCCACACTGCTGAGGCTGTCTAACCCGCCCGATCTCTCCCTGCAGCGGGAGCTGGACCCCCAGGGGCACCTCTATGACCCCCCCGACGCTCCCCTGGTGTCCCCCACGCCCGAGCTGGTGGTGGCCGTGGGCTTCCCTGCAGGTGAGTCTGACGCCCCCCATGTGCCCCCCGATCCGCCTCCCTGCCCCCCAGCACTGACGCCCCCCTTCTCCCCCCCACAGCAGGCAAGTCGACCTTCCTGAAGAGCCAGCTGGTGCCGGCGGGCTACGCCTACGCCAACCGGGTAAGGGCGGGCTGGGGGGCTTGCACTCCTCCTCGCCAGCAGGGGCTGGGCTCCCCCATTAACCTCCCTCCTCCCCCCAGGACACGCTGGGCTCCTGGCAGAAGTGTGTGGCGCTGGTGGCGGCGGCACTGCGCCAGGGGAAGAGCGCAGCCGTGGACAACACCAATCCCGACCCTGAGTCTCGCCGCAGGTAGGGGAGGGCCCACAGGGGGGGCGGGGGAGAGAACTACTGTCTTCCCCTCCCCCCATCTCTTCTGCCTCCCTCTCAGGTACATTGAATGTGCCCAGGACGCCGGGGTCCCCTGCCGCTGCTTCCTCTTCACTGCCACCCTGGAGCAGGCCAAGCACAACAACCGGGTGAGCAGCGCCCCCTAGAGGGGACAGGCCCCATTCCCTGCCCCCCCTGAGCCAGCCAGTCCCTGCCGTGGGGCCGGGTGGGAGCCGGCACCCCCTAGAGGGGACGGGCCCCGGGCCCCATTCCCTGCCCCCCCTGAGCCAGCCAGTCCCTGCCCTGGGGCCAGGTGGGAGCCGGCGCCCCCTAGAGGGGACGGGCCCCGGTCCCTGTCCCTGTGACAAGAGCTCGTTTCTGGTTCCAGTTCCGGGACCTGACGGCCTCGGGCCACATCTCCGTCACCGACATCGTGCTGAACAGCTACAAGTGAGTGTGGGGGGGCCCCAGCGGACAGGGGAGGGGGGGGAGATTCTGCCCGTTAACCCCTTGTCACGGAGTGTGGGGGGACACAAGGCCCTGCACCCCCGGCTTCCTGCGATTCACCATGACTCTCAGACATCCAGTAAAGCAGAAGGTTTATTCAGACGACAGGAATACAGTCCAAGACAGGTCTTGCAGGCGCAGACAACAGGACCCCCTCAGTTAGCTCCATCTTGGGGTCCTCGGGCACCCCAGCCCCCCCCTGGAGGTCAGAGCCCTCCCTGCCTCCCAGCCACCTCACCAGCCAGCTTCCCAGACTCTGCCTTCAGCGACCCCTCCCACAGCCTTTGTTCAGTTTCCCGGGCAAAGGTGTCACCTGGCCCCAGCCCCCTCCTGGGTTCTCATGTTACATGCTCAGGTATTCTCCTTGGTCAGTCTCCCATCCCCCAATGCAGACCGTCCCAACCACACTCCCCTGTCAGCATTCACAGACCACTGTAAGAACAGTCCCAGTTCATCACACCCCTTGCCTCCCTCTTCCCCCCCAGGAGTAAGTTTGTGGAGCCATCGCTGAGCGAGGGCTTTGCCCAGATCCTGCGCGTTCACTTTGTGCCGCGCTTCGCCGACGCCCGCCAGGAAGCGCTTTACCGCCAGTTCTCCGAGGGCTGAGCTGGGCCCAGCCACGGGGGGGCAGAGCCGGCCCCTGCAGCCGCACCTCAATAAAGAGAGAGCAGTGACCACGCCTCCTGGGGTCTGTTCTGGGGGGCGTGCTGTTCTGTGCCTCAGTTTCCCTGTGGGCTTTGCCCTGTTCCATGCAGGGGGTGGAAAAGGACCTGTGTCATGGGAGAAGACAGAAGGGTTGGGGCAGGAATTTCTCCTGCCGTGACCCCCCCCACACACACACAAATCGCGCAACCCTCCTAGCCCCGAACCACCCAGTACTGGGATGGGCTCCCTGACCATTTCTCTCTCCCCTGCCACCCTTGGTGGGTGGAGTCTCTCTGGAGGCGTGGCCTGAGTCACTGCTGTGTGCCCTTCCCCCACACCGTGCCCTGCAGCAGTGAAAAGGGCAGGACAGGGTTGTGCTGTGGCCCCCTCCAGGGCAGATGTGGGGGTGTCGTGTGGTGCTGGGGCAGGTCTCTGAGCAACAGCCAAACCCCTCCCAGAGAGCCAGGACTCCTGGGTTCCATCCCTGGAAGGGGGGGAGGGAGGCGGGCACAGAGCAGGGAAAGTGCCAGGACGCCTGGGGGGTACAGCACAGGCAGCAGAGGGGGGCGGGGACAGCAGGAGGTTTATTGACAGGTGCTGACACCCCCCCACACACCCACGGGGGGCGCTGCTCTCAGATCAGGTCCATGGGGATGTCGTCTTCCATGACGCTGGGCGGCTGCACCTGCTGCAGGCCGGGCTGGGGGCCTGGGCCGCGGGGCCCCGGGGGCATCAGCATCTGACCTGGGGAGAGGAGAGACACTGAGGGGGGGGCACGGTACACGGGGAGCCCTCGCCCGGCGCTGGGGCAGGATGGGGGGCACTGGGGTACACGGGGAGCCCTCGCCCAGCGCTGGGGCAGGGTACATGGGAACCCCTTGCCCAGCTCGGACATGAGGGGGGGCGGGGTACATGAGAACCCCTCACCCGGCGCTGGGGCAGGA